CGGGGGGGGGAGTTAACAAAGGAAAATGACTAGTGAGCTCAGACATTCTCATTCGGGGCTTATAACTGGCTCAGAATGGGTGCATGACATTCTCAGAGCATGTGAGCAGTCCAAGTGTGGACATAGAGCTTCAGCCACCCAGCTGGGATCTGTGCTAGGTAACTTAGGACATTTCAAGGTCACCAGGAATTTAAGGGATAGAGGATCATTCCCTTAAATTTGGAATACCAGCCCAGACTGAGGGAGAGGAAGTAGTTCCATGCACCCTAGTTTTGGGTGGTGTAGACACCTCCTAACAGATGAGTGGTGTCTGCATTCCTAACCTCTGCCGTCCCTGCCCTGCTTCCAGGTTGAGGACCCTGCTGCAGCTGAAATGGCAGCGCTCTCTGTGTGACCCAGGCGAGGCGGTGGGCCTACTGGCCGCCCAGAGCATCGGGGAGCCCTCCACACAGATGACCCTGAACACCTTCCACTTTGCCGGCAGAGGCGAGATGAACGTCACCCTGGGCATTCCAAGGTGGGGTACAGGGGTGCATGATGTGGGCTCTGTCCTGGCCCACTCCCAGGGAAGAACTCATTTAATGAGTGTGTGTGTGTGACTAAAAGACGGTGCTCATCAAAGTGGGGATCAGGGTTGGAGTTTTTGGAACCTGGCTTCTCTGTGCAGTTTCTTTGGCCTCTTAGAATCCCCATTTATCCATAACTCTCCCAACTCCTGTATCAGAGTGACGTGGGATGCTTGTAAACCTTCACACTCCTGGCGTCAGGACTCAGGAAGATGTTCACAAGCCCCATGCAGGGCCACCTGGTTGCCCAGCTCTGGAGCATCATCCACCTAGAAAATGACCCACAGTCGCCCTGGTTCTGCAAGTAAATGTATGCATCCTGCAGGATAATGCCCAGTGGGCAAGAGTAAAGATGGGGGCAAGACCCCCTGCATTCTATACCTGGCCCTTCCATTTTCTCAGTTCCTTTAGCCTCCTCAACTTCCTCAACTTCAGGGTTCTCGCCTATGGGAGGCCCACCTTACCATGCAGTCAGGCTGTGCAGGCTGACTGAGCTCATAGGCAAGGCCCCGGAGCACGGTGCCTGCACCCAGTAGGAGGGCTGCAGGCAATAGTTACCTTTCATTCGTTCAGTAGCTCTCAGTAAGCACCTGCTGTATGCAAGGCACAGGTGATAGGAAACAAGAATAAGACTCAGTCCTGTCCTTGAGGACCCATACCCCAGGGAGGAGAGTCACTTGCTGTCACACACAGAGCCAGAGCTGGGACTCTAATTCAGCATATTTCCCTGCAGGATCTCAAGGTCTCTCTCAGATCCCAAAGAGCTCTGACAAGAAAGGCCTCACAAATAGGGAATCTGGGTCCCTCTTAAGATCAGATGTACCCTTGTTCTGTGACAGGTTGAGGGAGATTCTCATGGTGGCCAGTGCCAACATCAAGACACCCATGATGAGTGTGCCCGTGCTCAACACCAGAAAAGCACTGAAGAGAGTGAAAAGCCTGAAGAGGCAGCTCACCAGGGTGTGCCTGGGAGAGGTAATTGTTTGGTGGACCCGGATGTTTTCCCATGGCTCCCCTCTGTGAAGAACAGCTTTGCTGACTGTTCAGACCCTGGGCTCAGATGCCAACCAACCAGAGGGAAGTTTGAGAAAGGTGTTGAGCAGGGGTGGAGCTGAGCAGGAAGCTTTAGCAGTAATCATTACTTCTATAGCATTCTCATGTGCCTTAAAAATAGAGACGCCCTGGGTTAGCTTACCAGCACTGCTGGAGCCCACTCCCTGCAGCCTTGGGCCATTCTCTGGACTTGACCTGTGGGCCCTGGGAGTTTCTTTGGGGTTTTGGCCAGTGATTCCATCCTGTTCCCTCAAGCCCTAGGGTTTCCCATAACCCACCTGTAATGCCCTGGAACCTGGGCAAGTTGGGCTCTCCCTGTGTGTCTGGTTCTAGGTGTTGCAGAAAATTGATGTCCAGGAGTCCTTCTGGATGGGAGAAAAACAGAACAAGTTCCGGGTGTACGAGCTGCGGTTTCAGTTCCTGCCGCATGCGTATTACCAGCAGGAGAAGTGCCTGAGACCTGCGGACATTCTGCACTTCATGGAAACAAGGTCGGGACTCGGGCCACTTTATTGTTTGACTTTGCTGTGGTTCTTGAGCCCTCCTGACTGCAGGACTCCTAGAGATTGGGGCTCATCTGCACAAGTTAGTTCTTCACTGGAAATGTAGCCTAATCTGGAAACCTCATCCCTGCTCTGGCTTATAGGTGTGACTGCATTGACCACACACCACTTTCTAAACCTTGTTCTCTGGTTGATGAGTCTTATCTTCTCTGGTTTGTAGGCTTTAAAACATAGAGTATGTGTACCTTAAAGAGAACTGAGCCCACCACAGTGGTGCTGCTATAGTCAGACCAGCACTCAGTGTTAGTTTCTGACATGATGTGATTCCAGGCAGCATAATGTAGTTCCTGATACACTTATATCCTGTTAGTGAGCAGCACACCTATGGCCTGCTGCTATTAAATGCCAGTTCTATAACTGGGGTTACCTCCAGCTTCTTACACAGAAATTCTGGTTGCCTACTGGTAGGGAGAATGAACATCCTTTTTCTCAGGTTCAAGTCACTGTTGGACATTTGAAAAGCACAGGCCACAATGTTGAGTACACAGGAATGGGAAATGGGCATGTTGGTGTGGGCCCATCCAGGCAGAGCTCACAAAGCCCTTTTGACTTGCCAGCTGACCCAGATCATGGAGCGCAAACTCATGGCTGCCGGGCCTCGCAGGTAACAGGCCAGTGAAACAGATTGGGAAGCCTGCGGCAGACTGGAGTGTGCAGAACTGGCCTCTGGGGGCAGGAGCTTGGGTTAGGGAGCCAGATCTTCCTCTTCTTCAAAAAAGAAGAAAGTCCCTTGCCCTCTTTTTTTCTGTTTTTGGTTGGTTGGTTATTTACTTTTGCTTTTATAAATAATTGTCCTAACTTTTAAAAATCAGCAACCAATTCATATCTTTTTAAAAGCTTGGTAAGGCCCAAATAGATCTCATATATTGGCAGGATTTGGCCACAGACCACAGACCACTGCCTCTAACCTAGACCACCTGTCAGGCCTTCTCTAAGCTGCTCAGCAATAGAGAACCAGTGGCAGAGTAGAGGCAGAAAGTCAATGTGTTCTGTTTTCCCACAAACCTTACCCAAGTGATGCCCACTCAAGCAGGTCGTGGAACAGCGTGGCCAGGAGAGAGTGGCTATTCTGCTGTGGGCCCTCTCTCCTCTCACCTGAAGTTGTTAGCTGGCTTCATGCTGGCCTTCTAAGCAGGTGGCATTTAGGACAGTGGGTATTGTGTTAGATGATGAGCTCGGATGTGAACTCAGCCCTTTGCACAGGGGTCCCTGACCAGGCAGGTCCTGTCCCGGTTTACACAAGCCGTAGGTGAAGTTGCCGCTGGCTGGGCCTTGGGGAACACCTCCGTCACTGTCTGCCTGAATAAAGAGGTTTGCTCTGTCAGGCGGGCCCCATGCTCTCCTGGTGCTGGGCCATGTCCCAGGAGGCCCATCTGTGCACCAGCCTGCCAGCTCATTAATTAACAGGGAGGAGCATACCTCCCAAGGGCCCTGCATGTGTGTGCTGGCCAAGCAGCCCTTTTCTGAGAAATGGGAATCAGGATCACATAGCCTCTTGAGAATTATCAAGCGAGGTAGAATTGGATGATCTGTCCCATTTCTAGTCATCTGAGACATGCGGGGCAGGTGGGTCTGCAGGAAGCATGCACCAGACTGTGCATAGAATTCTCTTCACTTATCTTGGGGGGTTGAAAACCCATCACTTTTAAAAAATTTCTTCATGATGGACAGCCCTGGCTTCCCAGCAGTGAAATACTTTCTCAACGCCCACTTTATATTTTGCTTGTGCACTTGAAAAGCTGTGATGAAGCTGTGTGCAGTAGCTCTCAGTGGAGCTACTCTGTGACTTCAGTAGAATGGGCCAGAAGTGAGAGAAGGAGCCGCGTGTGGTCTGGGGTGTGGTTTGGACCACTGTTGTCAGGTCTGGACCACAGGAAGTGGGGGTGTGCTGCAGAAGAGCGACCCTTTCCACAAGCAACTTTCTCCTTTCTCCTTCCTCTCTCTCCTACCCCCTTTTCTCTCTTCTTCCCTTCTCTCCCTTTTTTCTCTTCTCTCCCAGCTGAGGGATCATGACACTTTTCTTTAATTCAGGTATAATTGATATAGGATATTATATTCGTTTCAGGCACACAACATAGTGACTTGACATTTGTGTACATTGTGAAATGATCACACCACAGTAACTCTAGTTACCATCTGTCACCTTACAAAGTAAATACAGTATGTTTGACTACATTCCTCAGGCTATACATTACATCTTCAGGACTTTTTTATAACTGGAAGTTTCTACTTCTTAATCCCCTTCACCCATTTCACTGCCCCTCTTCAGCCCCCCTCTCCTCTGGCAATACCCATCTATTCTATGAGTCTGCATTTTGTTTGTTTGGTTTTGTTTTTTAGATTCCACATGTAAGTGAAGTCATGTAGTGTTTGTCTTTCTTTGTCTTTATTTCACCCAGCATAATACCCTCTAGGTCCATCCATGTTATTGCAGATGGCAAGATTTCATTCTTTTTTTATCTATCTATTTGAATTAGTGTTTTGGATTTCTTCAGATAGATACCCAGTATTGGAATTGCTGGATCATAAGGTAGATCTATTTTTTAATTTTTTGAGGAACCTCCATATTATTTCCCATAGTGGCTATGCCAGTTTACATTCCCACCAACAGTGTATGAGAGTTCATGAAACTATTTGACATAGACAGGAAACCAAAAGGATAGATACACAGTGCCACTTCCCCAGATGGAGACATGTAAGCATTTAAGGTTCCCTAGATGTTTATACTGGCACCTGTTACTTCGAATACTTGTGTAAATTATCTGGAAGGTGGGCCAGGGGTGGTGAAGTAGAAAGAGCATTGAACTAGAGTCAGGGGGTGTAGGTCCCTAGCCATGACATGACCAGGTTGGCTATCTGCAGTTACTGCTTCTGTGAGCCTGACTTTGAAAACAGCAGGTGGTAGAGCTATTGGCAGGCACTTTCGGAAATAGCCAAGGGTCGTGTTCTCTGTTTATAATTATTTATGTGGAATGGGAGCTTTCTCTGCAGCCTACCCCTCTTGTTCCCTTTCAGTTGCCACATTCTGAAAAACAGCCAAACCTTCACGGGGCAGTCACTGTGGGCCTCCAGTTCCCTTGCTCTTGGCAAAATCACAGACAGGCAGACTGCACCTCCAGGAGGACTCAAGCACACTGGCAACTGTCTGCCACTTAGGTCAGGTGTACAGTCTACTTTTTCACCTTTTCTCGTGTTCTATACCAGTCCTGCTCTCCAACAGGCAGGTGAGGTAGAAAGGATTCCCAACTGGGGAGGCTAGGGAAGGTCTTTTTAGGGAATTACATCTGCACTTGGACCTAGCCTTGGGGTGGGGTAGGGTATGGGGTAGGGAAAAGCAGCTCCAGTGTTAGATAAGGGGCTGGCAAATTTTTAGCAGAGCAGATGTCTAGAGCATGAGCTCATAGCATGCACAGAGGTGGGTGTAAGCAGATGTGTAATTGGGGTTGAGGACAGTTGAGGGCTTGAAATGCTGGGGGGAAGAGCCTCAGATGGTGCCATTGCCACAGAGTAACCACTTGACGAGTGGGAACAGCAGCCCCACAGCAAAGAGGTAATGAGTAGCTCTTGTGTGGGGCCTTGTGCTTCCATGCCAGTCATCTCCTCCACTCTGCAGTACACTGGGCATGAGCTGGGCGTGACCTCCACTGTGCCCATGAGGTCAGGCCCTCCTCTCTATTGTTGGGTGGAACAGAATCTGAATCATAGCCTGTCCTTTCAGAAATCTCTTCTGCCTCTGCTTCCCAGTTGGATTATATCTTTCTAACATCAAGCCTGGCCTCCCCCACTGGCCCTCTCATCTCTGTCCCCAGTGCCTAGTTACCAAGCTCTTCCCCAGGTTAGTGGGTGAGGAGCCTTTTTTCTGCCAAGGGCAGAAAAACCAGCAAAACCATGTACAACTTTTAAAAGTTTTAAAAAATAATGAGGGAGAGTGGCCGTTTTTTGTTTATGAGCACAATAGTAAACATATGGCCTGCCTACTTCTCATATTAATACTGGGCTCCTGGCTTTCATCCTTGCTTTGCCCTGGGGCACATGCTAGGCACACTAGGGATGGCTGCCTGGACGCTGGAGGCACCTGATACTTTGCATAATTAAGAGCAGTCCGTTTTGGTCTGTTGTTACAGCCTGATTAGTAGACAGGCAAGAGAGTTTATGAACAAAGAAGCTGAAGCTGGAGCTGGCGATGGGGCGAGGCCCTCAGGGAACATAAAAGTGTCTCAGGAGGAAGGGGCAGGGGCCTGGAAAGTCCCCCTAGTCTGTGCTTGGATTGGTTCTTTTAAATTGGTTTAGTTCTAACCTGACAACCGGATTTATTGCCACAAAGTAAGTTATCACTGCTTTTGACATTCTAATGAGCTTGTCCACATCCTAGTTCTTTCATCAAATTGTTGAGCCTTCCACTCTGAGAAAACAGGAGTTATCAGGCGCAAGCAGTGCTACCTGCCGGAGATGCGGCGGGTGGGCATGCAGAGGGGAGGTCTCCTAGTCCTGGCTGGACCCTGCTCCTACTGTAGATTCTGCTGTTTGCTAGACAACAGCCACCGCTGCAGTAACAATTGTCATTTACTGAGCACCACCCTGCCAGGCCCTATGGCATGTATCAATCATAGCGTGATTGCTAATCCTTAAAACAGGACTGCATGAAGCATATTAATACCCACCTTTTACAAATAAGAGAGTTAAAGCTCAGGAGACTGTCATGCTCAGAGCCTCGCTCCCTAGGAGGGCAGAGCACGTGTTCAGACCAGGCCTGGCAGGCCCTGGAGCCCTCTTCTTTCTGACATGCCATGTACCATTCAGAAACAGCAAGAGGGAAAACATGAGCTGATGGGAGAGGCAGGTCTCGTGATGTCCCCAATATCAGCCTCTGTGGGTGTGAGGTCCTTGGACAGAACATCCTACCCCCCCATTGAGGGGAGAGTGGAGAAGCTGTTACTGAACAGTCTGCATGGTCTTCTCACTTTAGATTCTTTAAAATTCTGATGGAATCTATCAGAAAGAAGAATAACAAAGCGTCAGCTTTCAGAAGTGTGAACACTCGAAGAGCTACCCAGCGGGATCTTGACAATGCTGGGGAGTCAGAGAGGAATCGGGTGAGTAAGTCCCCCAGGGATCCCTGGGGACTGGCACAGGGAGGGTCCCAGGGCTGGAAAGTGTGTAGGGCGGCAGCTCACTTTGTCTTCCCTCCTGGGAAGGGTCCATGACTGTTCTCAGTGCTCCTCACCCCCTTGCAGGTGTTGGCCCATCTCTTCACTTACCTTACTTCGCATTTACCTACTGTGCTGAAAGCTGAGAAGCAACATTGACTTCTCGGGTGTGGGGCCATGCAGGGGAGCAGCATGGTCCGGTAGGCCCTGGGCAGCGGAGCAGCATGGTCTGGTGGGCCCTGGGCAGGGGAGCAGTATGGTCTGGTGGCCCTGGGTAGGGCCCCAGGTCATTCATTTGTCTGCTCTCAAGGATCCCCCCCCTCCCAAATGATTTTTTTATCCTGAGGATAGACTCAAAGTAATGGTACCTGCTGGGCTTTTAGAAGTTCTTTTTCTGTTTCATTTTTCTCTGCCTTTCACCTACCTAGGCCGAGTGAACTGAGGCCTACAGGGCACTGGCCAGGGACCAGGGAGGCATTTTGAAGCAGGGAAGTTGGACGTTAGTGACAAAAAAGGAAGGAGCCAGGGAAAAGCCATTGAACCCACGCAGTGTGGGGGCAGGTCCCTGAGTGTCATATGAGCCGGCAGTTTGTTGAGCTGTGCAGTAGACCATGCCGATGTGGCGAGCCTACTTAGGTGGGGTTGCAGCAAAGGCTGGCACTGTCCCTACCTGCTCTGTGGTCCCAGCTGTGTCACCTCCTCTCTGGGCCTGTCTCCTCATCCCTAAAATGAGGGGCTGGCCTAGACCAGAGAGAATTCTGGGTCTCCTGTCATGGACGTCTATGGGCATGGATTGTCTTTGAAAGGCTGCCCACTTCCTTATTATTAAATCACCCAGAAGGAGACAGAAACTAGGAGCCAAGGTCAGAAAGAGAAAGGCACAAATACTTGGTTTTTAAAATACTCAATATTCCACCAAAACAACCCTTTCTCTTGTCCACCTGTGACAAAAATATTTGGAACAATATTTTGCACCATCTTCTTTTAGTGACTTGGAAACTCTTAGTACTTTTTAAAAAAAAATTTTTTAATGCAAGATTTTTAGGCAGTACATGTAAAGATGAAGATTGGAAAGGAGGTGTGGAACAGCGCTAACGCAGAGTAGATGCTGGATGGACGCCTTGGGGTGCGCGGGTGGGTGGATGGCGGGTAGGTGGAAGGGAAGGTGGACAGGTTGGGGAGTGGACAGGGAGTCGCTGGGCAGTAGGTACTGGAGCTCATCTTTTCCCTCCTCACCCTCACTCCACAGGGAGAGCAGGAAGGTACTGAGGAAGAGGAAGAGCACATTGTGGATGCCGAAGCCGAGGAGGGAGATGCTGATGCCTCTGACGTCAAACGCCGGGAGAAGCAAGAGGAGGAGGTGAGGGGGCTCCAGATGGGGTGGGTCTGTGGTCACGCCCCTCCTCCTCCAGCAGACCTGAGGGCTCACCCATGACACATAAGGCTGCTCCTTTGTATCTGCTGAGATCCATCAGGAGCCTTGAAGTAGCCCAGCCTGCCCTCACCCCCCTCAGCTGAGAAGATGGTGTTCTTGGGGCATGCTTTGGCAGGGTGCCACCTCAGGGCTGCCCTTTGGGCTTGGCTGTCCCTGGATTTGAACCCGTTTCAAGGACCCAGAAGCCTTTGGCAAGGAGACGAAGTCAGGCTGCCTCCTGTTTTTACGATGAAAATATAATACCTCCCTCCCCCACACCAGTGCTCTGCTGTCATGATGGCTGCAAAGACAAAGGGCACGTTAGAGGGGCTGAGGGAATTCGCAGGAAAGAGCTCAAGGCGAGGGCGAAGAAGGGCCTGGGGGGCTGGCATTCCCAGGGCAAGGGCCAGTGGGGGAGGGAGGAGGACAGCCCAGGGCACATGAGGCAGATGGGGTACTCGTGGGCCAGTCAGTAAGGTCTCTGCAGGCACAGTCCAGATAGGTGGTGGGGCCTCAGTGACAGCCTGTGCTCCGCCCCTGCCAGGTCGACTATGAGAGCGAGGAAGAGGAGCAGAGGGAGGGGGAGGAGAATGGCGACGAGGATGTGCCAGAGGAAGGAAATGTCCTTGGGGAAGGTGCCAACAGCCCCCAGGAGCCGGATGAAGAGGCGGGCTCAGGCCTCGAGGAGAGCGTGCCCCCTGCCCCACCCTTGAGACAGCCCCGGAAATCCACCTGCAGCCAGGAGCCCCAGGGAGCTGAGGCCATGGAGCGCCGGGCTCAGGCTGTCCGTGAGTCTCACCCGTTCATAGAGGACTACCAGTATGACACCGAGGAGAGCCTTTGGTGCCAGGTCAGTGCCACTTGGGGCTGGGGCAGGGAGCGGCCTGCTGCCATCTGGGGCCTGTGAGAGTTGGTTGCTAAGATCCCTTAAATTCAGAATGTGGTGACAGCTGTAGACCCTCTGCCCCAAATCACAGCCTCACAGATTTGACTTTCAAATCTCTAGAGGGCCACTTCTCTCTGATTTTTCAAGAAGAGTGTATGTGGGGTCTGATCTGCCAGGCCCTATTGGTACTTTTACACATCACCTCCTTCAGTCCTCAGTACGACAGATTGTTAACATATATGAAAGCTTTTGTAGAGAAAGCAGGAGTACTTTATTTGACACCTGAAGACCCTGTCTCTTACTTGGGAATGACGTGGTTCCCCCACAGGCTGGCTGGTGTGGATGCCTAGACATCTACACACAGAGGGGCTTTTTAGTGCTTTGATCCGACTCAGTGGTTCCCAAATGGCAATGTAGATAAGAGTCATGTACCAGGACTACACACAAACCTGTGTGCGTTATGGTTTGTGGTAATTGAAGGACAGCGAGGCAATGTTGGGCGATGTCATTTTCACCGTTCTCACCGACACCTGGGAAATACCGCTCCATTGTTTCCACCTCAGTCTGGGTGACTGGAGGTGGCTGCTGTGTGTGGCTGGTTAAGCCACCAGGGTTCATAGGTGCAGACCTACTGACCCAGGCCCCCCAGCAGGGCCACCTGTCCCCAGCCAAGGTGTTTACTAAGAGGGCTTTGGAGGAATACTGTGGGCAACCGGGCCTCTGGTTCCTCCGTGGGGCTGGGGTGGCATCTCCCTTGGCTCACCTCTTTCTCCCCTTGTAGGTGACAGTGAAACTCCCGCTGATGAAGATTAGCTTTGACATGAGCTCCCTGGTACTGTCCTTGGCCCACAGTGCTGTCATCTATGCGACCAAGGGCATCACAAGGTGTCTCCTGAATGAAACCACCAGTGACAAGAACGAGAAGGAGCTTGTCTTAAACACAGAAGGGATCAACCTTCCAGAGCTGTTCAAGTACTCTGAGGTGCGTGTCCCCACCAGGTCATCTGCTGGCTGGGACCAGGCCTCATGTTGTCTCCGCCTCAGGCCTTTCGGAGGCGAGGCTCCTTTACCCTGGCCCTTGCTGAGCCGCTGGTGCTTCTGACCCACCTGTTGGGGACCTACAGTGCACGTGAGCCCCAATAAGGCTTACAATACAGAAACCTGCTTAACTTTAACCCTGAGTTTCCAAAACTAATTTCAGTGCAAATGCTTTTCCTTGAAATCAAAACCTTTCCAAAGTAGAGTTGTAAGAAATAGTTTGCTGAGTTGCTGACCTGGGAGCTGCTCACTTTATGTGGTGAAGGAGGCCCTGGAGCCTTTCACCAAGTTCTCCAGAGGACACAGCAGGAAGGCTTATGCCTTTGGAGAGGCAACAAGGCAAGCTCCATGGTGTCCTTGTGGAGTTTGTTTAAACAAGGCCAGACCAGCGACCAGAGCCTCCGAGGTATATGAGGGTGACCTGCCATAGCACAGAGCCACCTTGGGCTCCCTAGGGCAGCTGAACTGGACCCTGGCGAGGCCCAAGTTACATCTGAGGGGCTGACCATCCCTGCTCCACGTGCCCCGGACAGGTGTTTGTATCTCTGCTGGGGAACTTTCCTCACCCGTTGAGAGACTCCTTGATCATAGGAAATGGGTCTTTCTGTTCAGTAAACAAAATAAAACGGAAGATACCTCTGACTAAAGCAGGTACCAAGTCATCTCAGCTCTGGTAGAGAGGAGACAGACCTTGGGACCCAGCCAGCATCCTGTCGGCAGTTCTGCCAACACTGTTCCCTCTCGATAGTCCTGGGCCACATTGCGGCCACTTCGTCATCAGTTGTGCTTGGCTGCCAGACAAGAAGAGAGCCCAGCCTGGGGGACATGCTTGTGGAGGGAGCAGAGGCCAGGCCCTCCCAGTCAGTCCCTCCTTCCTCCCCAGGTTCTGGATCTGCGCCGCCTCTATTCCAACGACATTCACGCAATGGCCAACACTTACGGCATCGAGGCCGCGCTGCGGGTGATTGAGAAGGAAATCAAGGACGTGTTTGCCGTGTATGGTAAGAGACACTGCGGACAGCCATCAGGAGATTCCGGGGAGTCCAGCAGCATCAGGGAACTGAAGTAGGGGTGCAGCGACTGTGTAGCCTGTAGGAGACCCTGAGAATGACCATGGAGAAGGAGTGACTTGTGTTTCAGTCTCATGTGGCATCTGTCACCGAAGCCACCACTTGTTTCTCATCCGTCAGGCTCTGAAGAAGCTCCTGCTTGATAACCTGGCTCCGTTCAGCCCTCAGGGTTTCAGTTCCCAAGTGAAAAGAGTGCTGTTAGGATGTGCCCCTGTCTGGATCCTCAGTTTCCTGTGCTGCTGGGTGGCAGTGGAGCACAGGAGCAGGTGTAGTGACAGGGATAGGGGAGGGGACTGGTCTCCAGGTTAGGGGAGGGAATAAATGATGGAACTGAGTGGAGCCCCGGGGTCTGACACAGGAGCCTCTGGGCTGACTTGTGTTGAGTGGCACTGCCTCAATGGTCCCCTTGTCACTGTTTAACCATTCCTGATGTTGCTGCCCGTGTGACAGGCATTGCAGTCGATCCCCGCCATCTCTCCCTGGTTGCTGACTATATGTGCTTTGAGGGCGTTTACAAGCCACTGAACCGCTTTGGGATCCAGTCAAACTCGTCCCCTCTGCAGCAGATGACATTTGAAACCAGCTTCCAGTTCCTGAAGCAGGCAACCATGATGGGTCAGTGTGAGGGCAGGGGTCCAGCAGGTGTCTACCTCTGAGTCTGCTCCAGGCAAATGGGCTTGTTCGTTGGGCAGCTTTCCATACACCTTCCCTGTGAGTGAGATCTCACGTAGGAAGTAGCTGGGGAGGGTGGGCAGCAGGCAGGAAAGCGCCTCTGTGTTTTGAAGGCGAGGGAAGAGAATCTTCTCAAATGGAGGAGCAGTGCGGCTCATGTAATCACAGCCAGCCTCTGGGACTCTGGACTTCCAAGGTGCTCTATCCACCCCCACAACATCTCCCTTAACTAACAGGTGCTCTGTATCTCTCCCAGGATCCCACGATGAGCTGAGGTCCCCTTCTGCCTGCCTCGTGGTTGGGAAGGTGGTCAAGGGCGGGACAGGCCTGTTCGAGCTCAAGCAGCCCCTGAGATAGCAGCCACCACAGCGCCGTTTGCCTGGCCTGGAAGATGACCCAGAGGACCCAGGTGAGGGCCTGGTCCAGCCTGACTTGCTCTTCAATGAGAGGACCAGGAGCCCAGAACCCTGGCGGTTCAGTGGCAGTGCAGAGCACAGCAGCAACATTGGGTTCCAGAGAGCAGCTGGCCTTCGGGCTGGACCGCCTTCCTCAGGAAAGCGATAGCATTGGTCATCTTTGCCCCTCCTCATCTCAGGATATAAACAAGTTCACCAAATCCCCCGAGTAACCTCCAGCATGGAGGGCCTCCCCCTGTGCAGCAGGAATCTTCAGTGGGGGAGATCCCTGCCCAGGTAGGAAAGGGAGGGTCTGTTGCTGTGAGCAGCCAGTGACTACAGCAGGATCCCTGAGCTCTTAAGCAGGAACCTGCTGCCCACAGCCTGCTCCTGGCTGCACTGGCCCAGGGGACAGAGTTCCCAAAGACTACTCAAGGCTTTTCCCTGGACCAAGGACAGTTTGGCACAGACCTCTACCCACCCAGCTTTTGTGCCTGGGGCAGTGCCCTGGCCTTGCTTGAATGTGGCCGCATGTCCTTCTAGACCAGATTAGCCCTGAGTCTGGGGTTGGTCTCTCTAGGGCCCTAGTAGCTCACCCCTACACATAACACCCTGAGTCGCCAGCCAGGCTGCACTCCTGGAACGAATTGCCCTCTTTCCCTGGCTTTGCTCTGAGTGCAGTGTTGAGGCCCAGGTCCCTTTGTGCAGACTGCTCTGTCTGGCCTCCCTTGGTCTCTGGCACCACAGCAAGGGGCCCTGACATGAACTGAAAAGTCAGAGGACTGCACAAAATCTTTGTAAAACCAGAGGCTGTTCTATTTTTGTCTAATGTTACTCCAGCTCAGGCTGAGTAATAAACTGGAACTAGCTATTGAGAGGGGAAAAAATTTTAAGCTTGGGGTTTTTTTTCTTTCCTTGGTTTGTGGTTTCTGCATTTGTGATTTGAGAGCTCAGGACGGATTTCTCAGCACAATCACATCTGAGCTCCTCTTCCTGTTCTTGGCAGATGAGCTGGGGGGAGAGCGCAGCACCCCGTGACTTTACTGTGTCCCAGCAGCATGTCCCTTCCAAAGCCAGCTCTGGCCCTGAGGTCAGGCAAGTGGAAGCCAATGGGAAGGAGCTGTGTGTATCTGGGTGGGGAAGGCGGCCTTGCTTGGAGAGAGTGACCACACTGCTTCCTCTAGACGCGATAGAACCAGGCCTGGGCCTCCTGGGCCCGCACTGGGGGAAACCCAACAGAAACCCGGCAGAAACGCTTCTCCAGGGCTGGGATACAGAGGAATACAAACAGCTTCCAAGGGCACAGGAAGAAGGTCTAGTGGGACCCTGCACGCCAGGTTAAACTGTGCATCTTGCAGCTAAGGGGCTCCTGCACTACTTGATTTCCCCTCATACCAGAACTGTGGGAGCCGGTCCTGGGAGGAGGTTGCTGGGTGAACAGAGGCACATGGCTGCATTGTCCCAGGGCTGGCCATCAGCACAGAAGTCCACTCAGCCCCACTGGGCCCTGAGGGCACTGACCATGACCTGTGCTGGGAGGGAGGCAATGGCCCCTGTCCTTCCTGCCCAGTCCTTCCACGTGTTTCCTGTGTGTGAGTTTCTCCCAGAATACACCTTATTCCTGGTTTATGAGTAAACCTTCCAGAGCTTTCACTGGTGGGCCAGGAGTCTTGCCCTGCTCCCCTACCGGATTATGCTTCCTTACAGGATTACATGCTCACTTCAGGTCAGAAGCCTCCACGGGTGGTCTCCCTCTGTTTAAGGTGGCATATTCTCTGGAACACTGTCAGTACTGTAAATGCTCTTTTTTGGAGGGCACATTTGATTTTTTTGAAAGAGGCAAGTAGGTCCAAGCCAAAACAAATGAAAAGGGTGGATCGAGCTGCATAATTATTTCCTAACAAAGGGGACTGGAGAGTGATTGTTGGGGCCTCACAGACCTCACCGAAGCTGTTTCTTACAACCCGAGGTGCGCAGCCACTGCCTTCGGGTGTTCTTCCTGCTCACGCCTTCATGTGTCAACATCCTACCTACTTGCTTACTTGTAACAGTTTTTTTTTAGTCCCCCCTTTCTGGGTTCTCATCAGAAACACTATCAGCATCATTACAGATACCCCTGTGAGCCTGAAATATTTTCCATCTGAATCAGAAGGAAAACAGGAATGTCTGAAGCAACTTGAACTTTCCTTTCTCTCTACTGTCGCCTACCTCCAAACAGAAGCAGAATACAGGGGTGGGCAAAAGGAGGTTTACAGTGTGAGTATGCAAAACACGGTTCATTCTTGTATTATTATTGCATTATTTTCCATACGATCAACTGTAAACCCACTTTTGCCCTTTCTT